CCAAAAGGCCCTGATATTCTGTGATCATCGATTTAACATTGTCTGTTTTTTCGGAAGTAAGTAATTGGATAATGACACTAAAATGATGACAGAATTTTTTGATCATCCACGTGTTCCCCCCAAAATTCGCATAGAAAAACTTCGTAGGGATTGTAAAGACCATGAGGAAAAGATAAGTAAACTTCGAACCTTTTATAGCAATTTTTGTAAAAACGAAAAGGTTAAAGATGTTCAAGGATATCTTGATGACCTTGGCAAGAAATCGGGAGAGCTTGAAACCGTTACCCTCAGGCAAATTAAAAAACAAACTTATTGGACATTTCACGCAAAGGTTTTTAAAGCTACAGAGATCTCTTACAGGTTCTCGAAATCAAAAGCATTCCTTAACATATTCGAGACTTGCATACAGAACAAGAAGGACAAATTGACCACCGAAAGTCTGGCGACAATGCTTACAGAAGAAGTATATAAGAAATTCAACGAGTTGTGTAGTCAATACAGAGAATGGGAGAAGATGAAATGTTCCCAGGGGAGTATTCTATGGAACAATGTCCCTAAAGTTGATGCTGAGCTTGACATAATGGGAAATTTTATTCAGGTGGAAAACAAGGAAAAATTGATTAAAACGCTTTCTTATCTTTCGGAAGTTCCGGTGTACATTCAAAGACTTCAACAACTAGAATTGGTTCTCGACATATTTAATGTTATCAAAACCAATAACAGCTTGCTTAATAATTTGACATTGGTTCTTCGAAATGATTATTTGTGGCTCGGAAGATTGGTTGACTACTTTGGACACTTTAACAAATATTTTTCGGAAGTTGACAACGCAAGCTGGGAATTAATAAAAGAGTTATCGTCAGCGGGTGAATTCATAGAATTTCTTCGAACGATTGCTGAACATGATATTAAGAATATGATCAATGGTGTTGAGGGTACCAACGAAAGGCTTATTCAAGAGGACACGGTATCATCATTGATTCAAGTCAAGCAATTTTTGCTTCCATTGCTTAATGATGCGGGAAGGTTGACGACCAAAAAATTTTTGAGTAAACTCTGCGCGATTTCCAAATCCAATTCTTCGCTTAGTATTAGGGTTAAAGTTTGCGTTAATAACAGCTCGTCATTGAAAAATATGTATCGAAACATTTCGAACAAAGGCGAGGTGACAGTAGAGAAAATTATGAACTCTGTGAAAAGAGGGACTTACACATTTCAAAAGAATAAGGACGACAGTTGCACTCTGTGCTTAACCTATCCGACACTCCAAGGTGAATCATGTAATCTGAACTTGAGTGACCTTCAAGATCTCCGAGGACGCGCCTTGTTAATCACGAAACCTGGAGCATCCAATGAATTAAATATTGGTCAAGCAGACGAGGAACAATTTTCGAAAGATCTTACTGACGAATTTGTGACTCAAGTTGACTTGGCACAAGAGATTCTTATCGTCACATCAAAATTAATACAAATGGGGCACCTCGGGCATCGTAACTTCAAGGAAACTGTCAAGGGAACCGCAAGAATGCTAGAGTTAAAGAATGAGTTGGAAGAAAGTCTGAGACAATGGATTGAGAAATACGATCCAGTGCCGATATCAAATCTTCAGCGGTCCACTTGAATTCCGGCTTTTGGAACACAGAG